TCTTTTAAGAATAGTATTTATTATATATATATATATATATATATATATATATATATATATATATATATATATATATATATATATATATATATATATATATATATATATATATATATATATATATATATATATATATATATATATATATATATATATATATATATATATATATATATATATATATAACCGAACACGCTTCTGTGGCCAAATCAGTAAAAGGCACGTCGAGCTAAATGACGGTTCGTATAGGGTACAGGTTCGGACCCTGTCGGAGGACGAATATTTTCCGTGAAAATTTCTGGGACATTCAGGCCGGTAAATGTTGTTTAATACTGTTTATTATAAACAGAGCATTTACTTAAATATTTGTATCTATAAAAAGAATGTATAAACATAAAAATGTCTTAAAATATACATATGTGTATGAGATAACGATGTATATGCTTATATATCAAGAACGATATTGGAGAAAATGTATGACTTCATCGGACTAAATTTGTTATGTTGGTGCGACTGCACATGCGCACGAACGATGGATGCCGAGAATTTGCAATTTGCATGAATGAACTCTCTAAACATCTTGATCATCTACAGTAAATTTGCGCCCTGGCTCTTACAACATTTCACCATCCTTAGCAGAACTTCTATTATCACAGAGTGGAATATCTAATAGCAAAGATGGGTAGAAACAAAAAGAGAAAGGAAATGAATCTTAATTAAGTACCATATCTTTTTGGGGCGTAGGGGATCACGGCTCTCCACAGATTCCTTTTCTTTATTATCTCTAAAATGCCACGCGTTCTTGAGCAAGGTAGTTCAGTGATTTCTCATTGCCTTCTCCACGGTTTTGAAATTCACAATTTTTCCTTCTCTTAGACTGCTTGCTACCCAGGGCTACAGAGTTTATTTAACCCATAAGTGGAAGGAGAAGAGACAGATTCATACCTATCCCGAGGGTATTTGTGAGAAAGTGAAAGCAACAGGATTGGCCGGAATTTGAACTCGGCTCGCCGAATCCACTTTCCTCGCGCCGACGACAGCTACCCTACACACATGCCCCCGTTCATTACCGTGACTTTATTAGTATTATTCTTCTTAAACTAGTCTAGTATGTTTCGGATCGTTTTCTTGTTGGAAAATGAATATCCTATCAAAGCTACCCTGCATAGCATCGAGTAAAGCATATTTCAAAATAATGGACAAATATTTTAGCGAATCCATTTTCCTTTTAATCCTTGCCATTTTCTCTGTACCTGCTGCGCGAAAAGCAAATCCTTTATAATATATATTCCCTACTTTACTTCACGGTTGAGATCGTATGTTTTTGTTTTTTTTTTTGTTTTTTTTTTGGATATAAATCGTACGCGGTTCTTTTTTTCTCCCTACTTAACGCTGCTGTCGATATCCGAAAAGTTCTATTTTTGTGTCGTCTGACCAAATAATTGTATTCTTTTAATTCGCCTGTCCCCAAACCTTTGTTAGCGAATACTAAACGAGTCTTTTTGTGCAGTGGCTGTTTTTTTTTTTTTTTTTTTCGTACAACCCTTCTGTGAAATCATTTTCGGTTTTATGTTCTACAAATTGTTGTGATGCGTACATCTAATCCAACGTCGTTCTTTAGATCTTTCTGTATTTCCTTTAAACTCGATTTCGGATTGACTGAAATTTCCCTTGTGATTTTAGTCACTCGTCGTGTGGTAATCTGTCTTAACCGAACCGATATTATAAGCGTTGATACGATAACAATTTCTTTTCATTCATGAACGATGGATATGATAGTGGAAAATTTCTTAGTACGAATGGGTAAGCATGAAACAAGTTCTTTTCAGATCTTCGGATTGCTCTTTGGTTTGCGTCAAGATTTAACAAATGAATGGGAACTACTTAAATTGACGAGTCCATTCGGAAAAAAAAAATAGACAATCTTTTTTTTTGTCGGGGGAGGTGGAATTTTTGTAGATTAGCATTCCTCAAGCCATAACATTAGGGACAAAACGCGTTGGTTAAAAAGGTTTTTCTTTTATCTTTTATTTATATATGTGTGAGTGTATATGTATGTATCTACTATATATACACGTATGTATTTGAATCTATAGCCCTAATAGATACATGCTCTGTTACATACTAACAGAGTGTACTTTGTCATGGGGCGAGACTGTGCAAGTTTGTCTCGCAGGCTCAGTAAAGAGTTCAATCCTCACTAGGTGCCTCACATTTATGGTCTTCTACCAAATAGAATTAAACTTAATAAATAACTATATACTTCATTTTCCAGTTTTTGTAGAGTTCAAAAGCGTCTACGCGGCCCTGTGGGGGGGATGAATCATTTTCCATTCTGCCACCACTCCTTTGAAAATGGGTAAATAGTAGGACAGACCGAGTTCTATAGCCTTGCCATCCAAGGCTATAGAACTCGGTCTGTCCTTATAGAACAAGAAAGAAATGGAAATTCTACCACAGAAAGAAAGGCCAACTTACATCATTAATAGAAATTCACATTCATAAAAGTAGAAATGTTGGTTTAATAATTAGCGTTTAATTTTACGGTGGAATAATGGATAGCGGCTCGGATTGAGGAATTGGAGAGCCGAGTTCGAATTCTAGTCAAATCCACTACATTCACTTACGTGCTAATAACCTTGGAAAAGGTATGAATTCTCTTCTTCTCTCCGCCCCAGCCATGGGTAAATAGCAGAACAGACCGGGTTCTATAGCCTTGGATGGCAACTGGTCTACCGCAGAAAGAAATGGTAACCTACTGCGGGAAAAAATCTGCCTCGTTAGTCATGTATTGAAAGATACATGATCGCCTAAGCGTGTATCACGCATGGCACATAACTGACTTCTTGCCACGAACCGTTACCTTGGGTAATTGACACCCAAGAGAATGCTTCCCGGTCATAACAATCTCAACATGTTCAAGTTTTGATCGTTATCTTTCCCGCGTATTCTCATAACCTGCGCCTCTTACTGATCACACAACACTTCATTAACCGTCTATCTTGAGTGGCTCTGGGGCCTTGTATAGGATGAACATTAGTAAAAAAAAAAAAAAAACTAGCAAAAGAGACAGAGTAACGTTAAGTATATTTACAAATTCCGCCAAAAATTGATACAAATATTCGTAATACATGATTTATCGGTCTGTATGCTGTATAATTCTGTTGTGTACGCACGCACGCACGTGGGTGTGCACTCATGCGCATGCTAGCAAATACTTGGTTTGAAAGGGAATATTTTACCTGCACATAAAATGCGGGAACATTAAGTAACCAATCAGCTTTAGTATAAAAGTCGTGTCAGTTGAACAAAGAAAATATTTTTTTTCCTTTCTGGTAGACTTGTCTCATCGTGATCGAAGTGTCCATAATACCGTGCTGTGAGAGCGGAATGAAACCCAATCACTGTGTTCATTTTTCATCGAAACAACTTACACCAGTGTTCTTTTGAGGACAAATGATTTCTATGTCAATAAGCACAAAACGTTCAACTTCCTTCGATTTCAAATGGCGTGAAGCCATTTTTTTTTTTTTAATCCTGAATGGGTAAAAAAGAAACACTTAACTCAACAACCTTACTCTCTTGATTTAAGTAGTTAAGCGTTGGGATCACATATTTCGTTCCTGTATATATATATATATATATATATATATATATATATATATATATATATATATATATATATATATATATATATATATTTTGAGGCTGCTGTTATTTGTCGTAAAACACAAAGATTTTTTTTTTGGATGTTGTGGTGTTACTTTTACTACCAGGTCATGTAATTTGATAATTGTGTATTTGGGGAGCAATCACTATTTTCTACAGGTTTCATTGAATATTACTGACAGGGCAGTGTGCTTAAGTTTTTAAAATTATTTTTCTTGTCTTGCAAGAGATTTCTTTTCTGAATATCGAGCGTGTAAGAACTATTTGCTCTTTGATCTTTTAAAATCTATTAGCCATTATCTAGGATGTTTTTTGTCACAATATGTAGATGTTTTTCTTCAATGAAATCTGTATAAAAGAAGGACTGCTGCCCCAATAAACATTATATATATATATATATATATATATATATATATATACATACTACATTGTTCGGACTATCTTCCTCATCTTTGTTGCCATATTTATCTCAACGTTTCGGCCATTGTACGCTCCGGCCTTCTTCAGGTGGTTGGAATGTCGAACTGAACCCTTTATTTCAGTTTCGGTTTCACGTGCCATGTCTAATGGATGTCAGTTATCAGTTATCTCCCGTTAATTCCCCTCTCGAAGAACTAGTACAAAGATGAGGACGATAGTCCGAACAACGTAAATAGTGTACATAATACCTCAACTCAGAAACATAGACAGATCCTACATACATACATACATACATACGAAAATTTCTCAGAGTTCACCTATAGAAAAGACAATATCTATAAATATAAATGACACTAGGAAAACTAATAGTTGCCGACGCGTTTCGTCCAAAGTCCACATTGGACGAAACGCGTTGACAACTATTACAGTTTTCTTATTACCATTTATATTTATAAATACATACATATATATATATATATATATATATATATATATATATATGAATAAAAAGACAAAAGAGAAAACTATTCTTAGCTGATACGTTTTCTCCTCTGAGAGACTTTTCGATGACGAAGCGCGGCTAAGAATACTTTTTCCTCTTGTCTTTTTATTCATTTTGTATCTTTATAGATACACTATATCTTAAAATAATTTACTTACACACACACACACACACACACACACACACACACACATACATATATATACATATAGGGTGATGGAAAGACTGTCCAATTTTTATCCTGTGTGGGTTTTTTCTGTATCTCCTGGAACACGATCCATTCTCACGGTTGCAGCTGGTTTGGTGAACCGGTGAATCTGAATTCGCCGGTTGGGAGGACTTCACAAGTCAATGCTGCTTCGTGATCTGATTTGACACTGAGTGCAACATCCATGCTGGCATGATCTAGGGCGAGACAACAAATTACATATCTATCTATCTATCTATCTATCTATCTATCTATCTATCTATCTATCTATCTATCTATTTTTTGTATGTATCTAAATGTGAACATAGTTACTTAGCTAATCAGATACATACATAATCATAAACTATAAGATAGATAGATAGATAGATAGATAAATAGACAGACAGATTATCTATCTTATTGTTCATGTATTTGTCCGTACCAATTTAGCACTGTAACTATTGCCACATTTAGGTACACACACAAAAAGAATGTACATACATGTGACTTTGCGTGTGTACTTATCTTATGGTAGGCCATATTTGTATGGTCCATTATGCTTTTTTTGATGGGGGTCTATACATAAATATATTTGTTCTCTAGGCTGTTCAGAAAGTACCTTTTTGCAAACAAATTGTGGGGAAAGGTAAGAGCTAGCAAATAAATATTTTTAAAGTTGAATGCGAAGGCGAAGAGTAAAGAGGAAGTAGGCATTTTGTTTTGTTTAGATTTTTTTGATTCATAATTTTATATTCAGTTTCATTTTTTTTTTTTTTGAACCTCTTCAAAAGAAGAGCATTCCTCCGCGAAAAATGCTTTGTATCTGCAGTCAAGGAAAAGGGAATAAAGCAGGTATCGTTCGTGATAAAAGTGAGTGTCACGATTACAGAAGAAATAGGGCAAGAAGAAGAAGAAGAAAGAGTAGAAGGAGGAGGAAAAGAAAGAAAAAAGAAAGAAGAAGAAGAAGAAGAAGAAGAAGAAGAAGAAGAAGAAGAAGAAGAAATAGGGCAAGAAGAAAGAGGATAATGATGATGAGTAGGATGAGTAGAAGAAGAAGAAGACGACGACGAAGAAATGAAAGGCGACGGTTATTAATTATGTTCTGTAACTAGAAACAAAGATAAGAAAAGAATACAATAAAAGAAAGGGTGAAATAATTTAGGAACTTGTCATCGACCTGAATGCAAAAAAAAAAAAAAAAAAAAAAACAAACAGAAGGAGAAGAATAAGGTCAAAGTAGAAGGAAGAGAAAGAAACTAGGCATATAAAAATAATCATTAAAATGTTTAGGAAGTTGAAAAAAGAAATGAGAGATAATATAAATTATAAAAAAACCCCATGGATTTGAATATGAAAAAGATAGAAGAGAAAAGAGAAGATCACAGTGTTTATAAACTGAAAGAGCAAAATAGTATTCTTAAAAAAAATGGAATAAAGAAGGATAAAAAGGAAATTTAAAAAAAAGTAACATTAACACGACACAAATATAACCGACATACTTTCTGAAATTTCTGACATTTTTTCTTCGTCAATTGAAGTAGTTTATTCAAATGTAGATTTTTTTTTATTTATTTCAAGTGTGACAAGCTGGATAAAAACACGGAAGAACGGCTCATAATTCCTAAAACTGTGTGTGGTGACACTTCCGCTAGTTTAAAGAGCCGAGAGCACGTGTTGTGTTAACTAAGGGGACTGTCAACCCTGCTGAGTTGGAGCAGAAATCGAATTATTATTATTATTATTATTATTATTATTATTGGGAAAATACGAATATGACACATTAAATCGGTCTCCAAAGTTGAGAGTCAACATAGGCCGGGGCCATGAACACCGGTAAGTGTAAGAAATACTTGGCGTTTATGCGGGAAAGAGAAGAAAAAAAAAATGAATGAAGGTTTAATTTTATGTGAATCCTTTTCACAGATGAATTCCCAATCTGAATCATTAAAAAAAAAAAACTATTTTTCTCCCAATACCAGCCACAAGTGCCACTGAAAGTATAAGGTTACTGAATGAGGTTGTTTTATGGATGTAACAGGAAGATGTAAGAAATTCAGATTATGAGGATAGGTAGGATAGATAACGGTTGGCCCTAGACTTAAATCCATTAGCGATCATTTCAGTAGTCTGTTCCACAAAATAGCAGCTCTCGAGATGGAGCTGTATGAGTGGAACTTCCTCCTTACTAATGGAATACAAAGGGAATGGGGATGAATCGACCCTGTGCACATGGAATGGTGGATCTAATTTATTGATTGATTCGTTTTTTATGGCTTAGCAGCCCTTTGCAGGTTATTTAAAGCCAGAAAACATTTTTAGATTGTAAGATTTGTTTTAGATAATACGGCTGTAGTGATATAAGTCTTACTAATTAACCCATAGCTGGAGAGAGAAGAGGTCGATTTATAACATTCCCAAAGGTATTTGCGCCTAAGTGAATATAACAAACAGAACGGGAATTGAAACTCGGCTCTCCGATTAACAAATCCAAGCCATTGCCCATTACATCATCCGAACATCGAAGCTTGCAACACCTGGTATTACCAAGCGGTCACCAATCTAGGTGCTGACCTGGCTTGACGTTGCTTAACTTCGATGATCGCACGGAAACCGTTGTTTCAACATGATGTGTCCGTAGCATGTGAAACTACGGAATCTACATTATCAGAAAATTGTTCATGGAAATAACGATAGAGTTGCGAGATGCTTGCGGCATTTCGTCTTTATGGAGTTGGTTGTAAGGTTGAAAACAATTCATCACCCACAAAGCCGCGTAGATGCTTTTGAACTCCGTCGGTGAGGATTGGCAGCAATAATCCATTTTTGATTTGAATCGAGTAAAAAGTAGAAAACATAAACCACACTTGCAGTTCTGCGCCTTCTAACATCAGTTATGTGTGAGTGAATTGGCCCTTCATACATAAATATATCTATCCATGCTTGGCAGACATTTCCTGCTAGTTTTTAATTACCTTTGTGTCACTTGTCCGTTTCTTCCACTGAACCAGAGTGTGTGAATTTTCCATACTAACTGGACCCAGGGATTGAACTCACAATTGTCAGAGAAACGGACAAGTGAGAATTTATTCACTTTATAGAGGTAGGTTGTTCTCATTCGACTTTCCCTGTTTGGGGAATATTTCATATTATTTAATACACGCCATCTTATTTACCTTTGTGTAGTGTATTCGTTCGTTTTTTTTTTTACTGAACCAGAATATATGACGTGATGGGATTGAAACTCACAACTACCAAGGAAACAGATATGTTTCCATCAACGCTGCATTCCACTCGACTATGGGATAAGCAAATGGTGTCATTCAGGAGCCTTAAGCATGTCTATATTCAGATGGTGGAATTTTCAAGTGTCCTTGCTAAATCAGTATAGAGTATTAGGGTTTAGGTCTGCAAATCACACCTGCTGGCTTAAAACGATGTTTTAAGCATGGAAAGAAGAGTGAGAACACACTAGATTCAATAAAGTGTCCAGTTCAAAATTCAGAGAAGGTTACCAAATACGAGCGACACGTGAGGGCGTATAGGACGTTTCGAGAAAAATGGAAACCAAACGGACGCATATAGATCGATTTCGGAAAGAGGTAGTTTAAATATCTAGGTCGCATAAAGAGTAAAGATGGCTTGGAAAATTTGACACTCACAAGACACACAGCAAGAGGATCTGAGGAAAACAGTGAGTAACCTAGACAAGGAGCTTGTATGAATGGATTGCAGAACAGTGAATGGGAGCGTTAATAAAAAAATACAGTTAAGAGCAACAAGGGATAGAAAGCTGTGGAGAGTCATGATCACCATATCATGATGAAGCAAATACAGAAATCCAAAGGCGCAAGAGAGTATCGAATGATGCATTCCAAAATATAAGCAAACTATTAAGAAATAGCAAATGTTATTAGAAACAAAGAATAGAGGGATGAAGTGTTATATAATATCAGTCTTCCTAAATGACAGGGAATGCTGGACAATTTCTTCATAGGTGAAGAAGAAACTTGAGACAACAGAAATGTGGTTCTACAGAAGGATGCTGAGAATATCATGACCAGAACATGTTAGCAACAACGAAGTTTAGCGAAAATGGAAACAAAATACACTTATCACTAGGAAGAAACAGATGAAAATTTCTAGGGCACATAATGTGGAAAGAGAGTCTGGAAAATTGAATACCCACAGTACATATTGAAAGCAAGAGGAACAGAGGAAAACAACGCATAACCTGTCCAAAGAACTTGAGTAAATAGATAAAGGTTTAGGAGTTACAACGAAAAGATAACATTTATTAAGAGTTACGAATGAGAGGAAATTGTGGAGAACCATGATCGTCAACGTCCTGAAGGGACACGGCACACAAAGGAAGAATGTAGGAACAATAACAGATGTATTTCTATAGAAGCATGCTGAGAATACCATAATCAAAGCATGTGAGTAAAGAGGAAGTTTTAAAGTAGAAACCTAAAAGAACACTGTTAGGATTTTTTTTTATTTTACTTCTGATTCTAACAATACTTAAAGTTACACAGAATAGGAAACTGTGGAGAGCCATGAGCACCTCCGTTCTGAAGGGATATGATGCATAAAAGAAGTTACTTAAATGTCAAATTTTATTTTCTATATTTGTATTTATTTATTGACAAAATGTAACTTTGTTGTCCAACTTCTTTCTCTTGAAGGAGAAAGCTTCATAGATCTGAACGTGTAGGTCACCATTTATTCACTTATCCACATGAAGCGCACTTTCACTTGGATCAAAATAGGAAAGGTTTCTCTCAAAGAAGAATGTCGAGGTACGTCTGTATCTCTATTTCAACCAGTCATTCACGTTCTATGCATACATATTTTTTATTTCACCAATATATACCAGCTATTATCATCATAACATATATAATGTGTCAATGACAATCTTTTTTTTTTCGTGGTTTCCAATGCGTTTCAATAAAAAAAATCTTTATCAATATATGAGCATTCTACATGTAACAGTTCTTATCTGTCAGTAATGCTTGTTCAGCAATTGAAGAAAAAATATTTATCAAATTATTTTTGCTGAAATGATTAAAGTGATACAGAGTAGTAGTGGAGTATTGATAAAGTGAGTGGGCATCAATATGAAAAACTCGATACCTTGCCTATGTGCACCGATTTTAATCGAACTAAAATGCAACTGGAATACTCTTTGATTTTTTAAAATTCTGTCCATATTTTTATTGTAAATTGGCAATGCATTCCTATAATAACACACTTCCTGTGACACTGAATATATATTCATTAAAATCTATGAAAAAACATTGAATGAAAACGCATTGGGGCCGGTATCCAATAACAAAGTCAGTTTCTCTTCAGTGGTGTTTTCGTCTTTGTGCAAAACACGTCAAAATAAAATGTGCGTCTGATTCTACGCTAGTTGTGGATTCCAGAGAATTTTATATTTTCGTTATCTCCATACATAAAAATTACTATGAGTCACCTACCCTCCCCCCTGTGGTAAGGTAGTTAAATCTCAGTAGAGGATCTGTACTTTCTCGGAAAAAAGGTTTACACGCACAAAAATAAATAAAACACACAATAAAAATATAAATTTAGTGATTTTCTAAGCCCGGCTTAGATGCGGCACAAGGTCGAAAGTATGGGGTACCCAGTGAGGATCGAACTCACTACTCAGTCGTAATTGATCTTGGAAGACAAGCTTTCTAACCATTACACCACATCGAGGTGCCCAATAAATGTAAATATATATGGATACATATTGCGTTTTATATGCACATACAAACACTCCATTGCCACTTTATATTGAGCACACTTCTCTCTCTCATATGTGTGTATATATATATATATATACATATGTATATATATGTGTGTGTGTGTATGTGTGTGTCTGTGTGTGTGTGCGTGCGTGCGTGCGTACACACACGCGTTTGTGTGTGTGTGTGTGTGTGTGTGGAGAGAGAGAGAGAGAGAGAGAGAGAGAGAGAGAATGGCGTGTTGATTCTTACGCTACGTCCACTCTACCAGAGGCATAATCACTTTATATATATATATATATATATATATATATATATATATATATATATATGTGTGTGTGTGTGTGTGTGTTTATATATATATATATATATATATATATATATATGAGAAAAGTTAGACGATAATCCAAATGAATGTGATATATATAAGACAATTTCTAAAATTTCTAATTTTATGTTTCACCAATGAGACGACGTCATTTTTTTTCTGATGACACCGATTCATCGGCGAAACGTTAAAATAAATTGAAGTTTTACCAATTGTTTATCCCCTCTCTCTCTTTATATATATATATATATATATATATATATATGTATGTATGTATGTATTGGTGCCTGCAAGGTAAATCGACACCTTAGGTTTAAAATGGATTTTAAGAATCAATAATCTTTCTTGAAGCTATTATTTTAGTTATAATTTAAAGCTAATAGATTAAATTTAATATTCCCAATAAGCAAAATTATTTGCTGAATTTCAATCTGAAATCAAATTGTTTGCAATTAGTTTTTTTAATATCAGTAAAAACGGTAAAATCTTTCATCTGGACAAATCTGTCAACACAACGTAATTCTTATAAAGAAAATTTTCAAAAATAAAATATACTTTTCTGAAATTGTATTTAAGGAAAATTTGCTGATTTAAAGTTTAATTAATCCGATTTGAAACAAATATCACTTATCTTTAGTATAAAATGTCACAGAAAACCATTTTAACTCGTAGACGGGTGTTTTTTATGAGGTGTTGATAACTCTTTTGATAGATGTACGTTTTAGATTTTTTACCAAGGTGGATATAACTGTAACAATAACTTGAAGAACGTAAACGTCATTTTTAAATAATTTTTTTTAACTTACCTGTAATTTTAAAAAGTTGAGAAAATATTCTAAGCAATGTAACATTTTATAGAATTTTAAGCACTTTATAGTCTAACTTACGAAAACGCTTGTTGAGGAAATGTTAGAAAATTACGAATATATTTTAACTTTACTATAGTTATTGCTCTTATTTTCTCATAATGCTGTGTATGGACGTCCGTATTTACAAAAATTGAAATTCCATAAAATTAAATAGGAGAATAAGTCCGGAAAATTTCATTAAAATTAACTATTTTCTGATTTTTGCAAGAACTTCTAAATCAGCATGTTTTGCACAAGATTTTTAATAAAAATTTCCAGGGTTCTAAAAAGAATTAAAAAAAGATTTTTTTACACAAAAATTCTTTGCTCTGTTCTCTTAATAATAGCATCAATATTTTTACTATAAAACTTTGTTTTTATTAAGTTTTGGGCATTTTTTTAAAACATCTATGCTAATTTTTAGCGACTCTTCGGAGGCACCTATATATATATATATATATATATATATATATATACATCGGACTTCATCGGACTAAATTTGTTATGTTGTCCGATGAGGTCCTAAAGGACGAAACGCGTCACAAGAAAACTTTTTCCATTTTGTCATAAGTTTTTCTCCAATATAGTTCTTGATATATAAAAATGCATATCGTTATAACACACACACACGTATATATATATATATATATATATATATATATATATATATATGCAATGACTGTTGGAAAATTATCGGTCCCAGTAAG